TTGAAAGCAATGTGGTACCGTATGGTTTCTTACAACGTTTAAAGATGCCGAAGATGCACACATTAAAGCCGTATATATCCAGCATCCGTCAAGGAATTTCTGCTGACAGACCATTTCTTCTGACACCATCACATCGCCAATGCTTTCGCGAGCGTCGCCCACATATTTTCCAATAAAGAAATATAAAGGAAGGAAGGAAGCAAGGAGAGGGTGAGAGTGGTTCTAGATGTGAGGAATATTTCGTAGATGAGCTCTCTAATGACGATCGTTTGAATAACTTTAACAAGCAGGAAAACCCGCAGTTAATGAGTGTTCGAAAACTCTCTCGTCTCTCACCTTCAGAACTAGGGTGTTCAAATTCACAATTCTGATAATGCAGGATTATCAAGGAATTTCCCAACCTTGTTCAGTTCATCTCCTACTAAATTTGTATTTCTGTCCGATTTTGTGATGCTTCTGGGAGTTTAGTGTTATATAAGGAGAACAGCTGCAGCTGGGTATTACGTGAGAATTTACAACCTAGACGTAGGTTAATCAAGGACACCGAAGGTGCCTTCTCTACTTTAACTACACGTAGAGTGGCTACCGATTTTGCTATTTGCTATGACGCATATATCCTCGGTTAGTGGTCATCCTCAAAATAAATACTTAATCATCCCGTTCAATATAAATACAAAGAAAACACTAAAACTTAGTTTTTATAAACCAAAAATATGCTTTCTGAAATAAGTGCATCCTATACGCTGAGCAAATACGCTAAGTGTAGGTACACATTTTCACCTGGTAATATTTATATGCCGTCAGAATTGCAACAATATGGCCATGTTTCAGAGTCGCTAATGCATTGCAGAGAGCCAGTAATTATGTTTGGTCTCTGTGCTCGAAATTTCCAGCTTTGTAGCCAAGCTTTTTGCCAACTATGTTACATATGAACAAATACTGGTTGGTACTCTTGGGATATGGACAGTGGTTGGTACTCTTGGTATCTGGACAGTGGTTGGTACTCTTGGTATCTGGACAGTGGTTGGTACTCTTGGGATTTGGATAGTGGTTGGTACTCTTGGTATCTGGACAGTGGTTGGTACTCTTGGTATCTGGACAGTGGTTGGTACTCTTGGGATTTGGATAGTGGTTGGTACTCTTGGTATCTGGACAGTGGTTGGTACTCTTGGGATTTGGATAGTGGTTGGTACTCTTGGGATCTGGACAGTGGTTGGTACTCTTGGGATATGGACAGTGGTTGGTACTCTTGGTATCTGGACAGTGGTTGGTACTCTTGGTATCTGGACAGTGGTTGGTACTCTTGGGATATGGACAGTGGTTGGTACTCTTGGTATCTGGACAGTGGTTGGTACTCTTGGTATCTGGACAGTGGTTGGTACTCTTGGGATTTGGATAGTGGTTGGTACTCTTGGGATCTGGACAGTGGTTGGTACTCTTGGGATCTGGACAGTGGTTGGTACTCTTGGGATCTGGACAGTGGTTGGTACTCTTGGTATCTGGACAGTGGTTGGTACTCTTGGGATCTGGACAGTGGTTGGTACTCTTGGTATCTGGACAGTGGTTGGTACTCTTGGGATCTGGACAGTGGTTGGTACTCTGGTATCTGGACAGTGGTTGGTACTCTTGGTATCTGGACAGTGGTTGGTACTCTTGGGATCTGGACAGTGGTTGGTACTCTTGGTATCTGGACAGTGGTTGGTACTCTTGGTATCTGGACAGTGGTTGGTACTCTTGGGATCTGGACAGTGGTTGGTACTCTTGGTATCTGGACAGTGGTTGGTACTCTTGGGATCTGGACAGTGGTTGGTACTCTTGGGATCTGGACACAGCAGCTTCTGTTGCTAGCAGGAATGGATCCAGACGACACAT